GAAATAAATTAATAATTTGTAATGGAGTTATTTAAGTTTTGCTGACTGAGCAATGAAATTATCAGAACCTTTAAATTCTCCACGTCAAATTGAAAGTTTTCAGGGAGCTAGAATATTTCACTTCTGCATCGCCCGGCTCTCAGCTTGATACTGATGATGGATTTATGTACTTCTTCAACTGAAAGCATGGGATGATCCGTACCGCCCCTCTGGCGGTGGAGTAGGGAGTTACACACAGAGTTCGAGCAATTTTTTATGGGGTGCGAAGTAGAGTTAGAGGGGAGGATACAGATTGTGGAGTGGGTACGTTGAGGAGCAGCAGGACGAGGGGAAGTACCATATAACCCCTAGGCGAGAGACTAACGGAAAAAGTTGATATTGTGCAGTACATCAGACACTGCTGCCATCTCGGTAGGAATATCTGGAATAGAATTCTTTTCTCAATTACAGTTGATTTGACAAACTAATAATTTCTATTTTTATATTTTAATTATCTGAAAAAAAATTGGTTCCATATGAAAATACAATACAATTTTCAGCAAGTTATAGCCGAATAAGGTTCCTGGATATTGGTTATTGTAAATCAGTGTATATTATAATTGTAATGCTTTTCCTTTATACGACCATTATTTCTGCCAAGAAACATCTCCCTCTGACATCTGTCGCTTTGCAAATAAACCCAGGGCTTCAGCAACTTGAAAAGGAAAGCTATGTTAACGATATTCAAGAATGAAATCCCTTATTCTTCAACCACGTTTCATCGGCTTTAGTCGAACATATACAGAATTAATTCAATATGAGCGTATTTTTCTGTATTGTAGTTGTCTATTATGTTACAAAAATCTTAATTTCATTGATCAGAAATATTAAGCCTAACTTCCTGGTATTAAAATACCTGTATTTGTAACGGTCATGGGTTGTAATCCTAATACTAGTAAATATTGTACAATTGACCACTTATTGACTTTCAAAATGTACCTCAGTTATTTCGAAGGTCTAGAAAACTTTGTTTAAATTTTTATCGGCAATTTTCAACCCCTCTATAAGAATTCGAAGCTTGGAGAAAAGAGCGACTCCTTCTTCCACGACACCCCTCTGATACAACGTCCGTGAGCACTGTATTTTATTATTTGGAGCTGTAAGCTTTTTACCATAATAGTTAAAATGATTGGACGCATAAACCATCTGTTCATAGCAGACCCACTCCACGAGATAAATTCAAAGATTAAAAAAATATAAATTTAAATTATAGCTGATTCACGTGACTACATCGTTTCAACCATAAGTTATCTGCAGTTAGAAGAGTATTGTCTTTTGAACGTGATGCCTTGTAGTCCAGTAGAAGTTTCCCAACGTTTCGGAGAAATATAGTATTTCTATCTCCAGAGTCGGTGCAAGAAACAAGAAGCAGGTGATAAGCTTGTTTTTTGCTGACTACTTCCCTAACTTACTCTTTGACCCTGAAGATGGAGGCAGTATGTTCCTCAGAATAACTTATACCAGACTTCACGGCTTGAAATCATGTCCTTCCTAGTCACTGCTGACAGGATCTCAGATCCAGCTTATATTATCTTTCATCCCTTAAAGTTTTACATGTGTCGAATTAGATATCAAACCCGAAAAGAAGGACGAACTAAACCCGTCAGTAATACCATGCCAAAGGGCGTTAGTACACAGCTGTTACATATAGTATAAATCTTTAAATAATGGTTTACACTTCGTAACTCCCCTGACTGAAGTGCCTTGATATGAATTCAGTGTGACTCAACGCTGTGATTGGTAAAGTACAAATGCAGCACTCCCAACAATTGTTCTTAAATAATTCTAACAAAGGCGAAGCGGAAGAGCCTTAGGGTGCGTGGTTCAATGGATGTATTTCCCAGCTGATTTCTCTGATAGCACAAACGTATATTAAAGCTCCCCCCCCCCTTTTTCTCGTCCAATAGTGTACCACTTCAGTTTCGGAACAAGGTCTCAGTTCTAACAGTAATTAAGGATGGGCGGTGACCTCTAGTGAACTCTTTACTTAGCCTTCTAATCTGTCAGGGTCGGTGCTATTACAACTGCCTTCATGTATCTGTATGCCTACACATTTAGGTGGGACAGACGTCTGTTTCAAGAACCTCAACAGCTACGTACAAAAATGAATGTATTTTATTGCTATTTTGAAGCTCTACCTTGATTCAAGTTGTCTGGGAAGAAAGTAACGGACCATTGTGAATACAACCCACTGTAGCGCATGCGTGATAAACCTGACTCATGGAAGCTCATATCAATTACTGAAAAAGAAAGGATTCAGTTGGGCCCCTTATTCTTCCTTTCGAAACATTAAAGTACAGAAGACTTCCGATTATCTAGAGTGAGTGGGAAATGATATTTTCCCCAGATAGTAAAAGAAGTATTATAATTAACTTGTGAATTGTGTCCGCGCCATACTCAAGCGGTTAGTCGCTGACTTCCCATCGCGGAGGCCCGGGTCTGGTCAAGTGGGATTTGTGGTGGACAAAGTGGCATGGGGGCAGGTTTTCTCAGAGTACTTCGGTTTTTCCTACCAATCTTTATTCCACAAAATTATCCATCATCATAATCACCCAGGGCAGATACAATAGGCCAATGTGTGGCCGACGTGCCGAGTGAACCCAGTTGGATTTCACTTCCACCCAATGCGAATTACAAACAAAAATATGAATTGGGATTTATAAAGCGACCCGTGCAATTATTCGTAAATAAGTGCATTTTGCTCTAACGCAATTGGCTGAAACATGATTGTGGTTTCTCAGAAGTTCGTGTCCCGTTTCTAATCATTGAACAAAAAAAAACAAATAAGGAAATAGTACATGAGTTTCCAAATACATATTGAAACGTGAAATAAAGCTCCCTTCCTTATGTGTTCGTTAATTTTGAAAAAGCAATTACAGTGAAGTTTGTCTATTGACATTGGACACATCAGTTAGTTTTCTAAGCATAGCCCTCGGATAATCCATAGCCCAGTTAATCGGGAGCCTGCTGCATATTCACATGACGTATTAATTCTCTCTAGTTCGGTTCCTGCATCTGAAATCTTACTTCATAACCTGACTTAAAACAGAAAATACTGTATAATGGAAAATAATGTTGGTAACAGTGATACCACATTATTAGAAACTTTTAGGATTAAATGATATATACTGTTAATCTCCTTAAATGTTGCTTGTCCTAATTGCTTGAGAGGCCTGTAACAAATTCATACTTCAGTTATAAACATATTTCTTTGATATGACAGTCGCAAGCTGATAGTTAAGCATGACTTTTTTGATTCGCATAGTGGGGGGTGGAGTCCAGTTTGGTCCTCTCGGCACGTCGCCCCCTGATTGGCGTATTGTATCTTGCCCGGGTGATTATGATGATGGAGAGTTTGGTGGAATGAAGATCGGCAAGGGAAACCGAAGTACTCGGAGAAAACCTGCCCCAGCGCCACTTTGTCCACCAAAAATTCCACTTGACCAGACCCGAGCTCGAACCCGGGCCGCCGCGGTGGGAAGCCAGCGACTAACCGCTTGAGCTATGGCGCGGCCTAAGCATGACTTAATTCCATGACTTTTGTAATGACTATGATAGGATACTTATCAATATCATATTGTGTGCTATAATATTGATATAATTTAAAATAAGGTCTTTTTTTCTCATACTATTCACATATGCCAAAGTTCATATTACGAATTTCGCTCTTACGTTTCTGTCGAAAGTCCATTGCCGATTTCACTGGACACTTGCGTATGTAGCCTTGTCACGTTATAAGGCTGAGAGTAGAATAATCAGAAAGTTTTACATGTCAAGGAAACCTCAGTAATATCAGTTATTCTTCACGGGCTCCAGCCCACAGACTTTTAAAGATGCCATACATATATTTTCAACTATTCACTTATATTTGTATATATTACCTTATCTTTGTTAAAAAAAATCAATTCCAATGTTTTCAGTGGCAGTCTAAAGAAATTTGTGATATCTTAAGTGCACTTCCTGTTAGGAAGTGATTTTTAAAACTTTCGGAAAGTACTGTATGTTAAGTATTCATGCATTTGTACCCCTTAGATACAAGAACCAAACCCGCTAGCCTATTCTAATCAGAAGGTTCAATAATTTTATATTAACGGTTTCCTTTGGACATGATTCTGTGTCAGTGCCATCTATCTCCCATTCTCACAACCTGTTTCTCTAAAATCCGTGTAAATGTCATAAAGGCTTACTCCCATCGTTTTTTGGACTTCTGGTTGTACTTTTTCCACTGTGTTTTCCCACAACATTTCAATATTCTCTTTTGTCGACCTCGTATGAAATGCATGTCCAGCGTACCTCGGATTCCTGACTTATTTTCCTTCACAGGTGACGTGTATGCATGGTAAAGTCCCTTGACTTATGTACCCAGTATTCTGCAGTCTTCAAAACTTCTGTGTAAAGTTGATATATTTCCCTGATATAAGCCACCACAGTTGGGTGTCAACTCCGCAGAAATATTTACCTAAAAGTCCTTAATATTACTTTATAGCGGCCTGTCCATTTAAATTATAAAATTTAATTTCATGTGTGATCTAGCGGTCAGAGTTCCTGGTTACAGATTCAGAGGTCCCGGGTTCGATTCCCGGCACCACCAGATTTTCTGAGGTGTAGTATGTCTGGAATGGCGTCCACTCAGCCTCGTGAGGATAATTGAGGAGCTACTTGAATGGAAAGTAGCGGCTCTGGTCTAGAAAACCGAGATGAACGGCCGTGGGGATCCGTTGCGCTGACCACGTGACACCCTCTATCAGCAAAATTGGCACTAATTTCACGGACAAGCGACGGTCGCTCTGTTGGTGTAGTTCGCTTGCGGACTACAGGCCACGGAGTTTCTTATTTGCACTCTACATTTGTTGTGACTGAAAAGCGGTTCAGCTCAGAAACATTCCTTCTAAATAAGCAAGTAGAGACGGTCTGCTTTCACATTGTAGCTCCGTGAATAATATGTTTGATACTGCCATCAGCAGGTAGAGTGTTCCAATGGAGTCAACTGTAATCCACATGCCAATAGTATGGACATACCCATCTCACCGCCAGTTTATGGAGTTCTAAGCAAACAGCAGTCTATTGGATACACGTGGCAACACTGTGGGATAGCCCCTGGGTTGGACAACTGCAACAGACCATCTCTCTCCATACATGTAAGTGTTGCTAAGCAATTTCGTTTTATTCTTTCTTGCCTTCCTATTTACTTAGCTGTAATGTTTCAACAGTGACATGCTCATGTCTTAATTTACACTTTTCGACTTGAAAATTTAGACACATTATTGATCCCATTGCCTCGCGTTTACCGTAGTGGAAGATTTTATATTACGTGTGGGGTAATTGGCTCGAATTACGTTTTTGACTTGTATGTTTGTATTTTTGACCACTGCCTGTACTTGTGCTCATCATTACAGTAGCTCTCTCCCAGTCGAGGTATTCTGCTATGCACAAGCACCCCCTGCAGATAAACCATAGAGGGCTATTATCTAAGAAGTCAGAGAAATCAGGCAGAAAACCGAGGGGAAAAATTGTATTTTGTTGACTTGTCAATCTAAGGGCATTCTGATATCGCGCTTACGAAACATTTACCCTGTTCTTATCACTTCGATTGATACTTAACGTAACTCAAATTTCATATTAATTGTTTATTTTTAATGATCATGTTCTCCATGCCATATCAGTAATATTCAAATTTGTTGAAATAATTCTAATATAATTTATTACGCTACTATCGATTCATCATATAATTCGCAATCTACGATGTAACTCGTTAAACAGGACTTAAAATTGTTGGCTTTGATAGTAGCCACAAAGAAAACATAAATATAAAACTCAAACTAGAAAAATTGTGGGATCTGGAGTTAAGTGCTGTATTGGTTGTTGCAGATCTGAAAGTTTCACATACTGACGTCATTCTTGTGCGCGTCTGTTCCCACAGGACAAAATGGCGATAACTTACAGGAATGAAATTTCTGGAACACAAGAGTTTTGTTCCTGTACTGCTCTCATATATAATATGAACTTCTCATTCTGGAGTGGTCAAAGTGTTATCATCTCCATCTGCACCTGTTCGTGGCTACTATAATTATAAGGATCCACTTATAGATTTTCGCTTAATACGAATATTGTGCGTGAAAAAGTTACGGGTCTGCTAATGGACTGCTAATTATTTTAACCTTACATGTCTGGCAGTAATTCTGTGGTGAAGGATGCCATATAAAGCAGCAGAAGATTGTTACAGATAGTATGTATTTTATTCCTGTCAACACAGCATTATTGCAGCAAGTAATGTTGCTATATAGGACATGTTTCGGCACATGTGTGCCATCTTCGGGTCCTTTTTTTTAGTTATAGTTTCATTACCAGATTCTTAGAGTAAGTCCTTCTATGTAAGTAAAAACCGAAACGAAAGATAGCACGTGCCGAAAATTTCAACAGAGACAGCAGAGTACCAGCTGCAAATATTGTTATGTCGACAGGAATAAAATAAATATCACTTAAATTGATTTACACAGCAGGATTCAACAACATAAGAGCAAAACACTGCGTTTAGTGTACGCCTCCATTTTATCATTTTTATGGCACTGACTTCAGTATCTTGAGAAATTAAAAGACAAATCAGTATTTGATACCTTATATTTACAAGCTTAACAGCTTACAAGCTCATGAAAAATTGTGAACACACTTTTGTATGTAGTTTTAAATCGTGTAAACCACCTCGAATTTGGTGTTCAGTAGTTGTGTTTTACTTTCTGCTGTAAAACACTGAATCCCTCCTAGCATTTCGTCACTTCTACAGCTGTAAGATGAATTCACATTAAGGCACGTGTGCATGTATTTAACTGGATACGACCTTCATTTATAAATTTACCTCGGGCGTGAATCATTGCCTTAGGAAATACGAAGATGTGCTTGGACCTGCTCCCATTTCGTTCCCCAGAGAACATGATTTGTTGGAAACAAGTTCACCCGATTTGTTACTTTCGCTGTAGGATTCTTCTTTTTATTCTTGACCCGTTTAAATACTCAGTAAATTGCTGAGACTACAGTGAGTCGAATTCTAGTATCATTAGTGAATGGCAAAATGGAAAGAATGCGGAAGGAAATGGTCTTGACAGGATTTGAGGTGCTTTCTCAATTCGCTGGAAGAAGCGAGGAAAATCACCCCCAAAATAATTCCTTGTAGAAAATCTGTGGGAAGAGATACGAACCTTGGATCCCCCGAACACAAAGTAGGATGGCCACCGACACGGCCCGGATATTTGTTGCAAATTAATTTGTCATTCTGTGTGTGTGAATATGAAGCTATATTTGCAATGTTCTGAACTTTTTCTTCTATTTAATTGTGATAATGTAATGCATACGCCGTAGCGTAGCTGGTTCAGGCACTATGCTACAAGGCGGAAGGTAGCGGGTTCGAGTCCCGATGAGGTGGATTTTGTTTCAATTAACCTAGTCCTTCCAGCCGCACTATGGCCCTGTGGTCGACTCAGCCTCTAACAGAAATGAGTACCAGGAATCTTCCGTACTGCGGATGATCACATATGCACCTTGGTATGTGTCAAATCAGACCCTACATGACGATCTCAATGTACCATTCATCAAAGAAGTCATCCAAGAAAGAAGCATAAAACACCACGATAAACTAGGACACCATAGCAATACATTACTGCAGCCCCTACTGGAACAACAACAACGAAGAAGGCTAAAGAAATTATGGCCCGCAGATCTACTTGATGGTTAGAGGATCTCTCTTTGGAGGAGCCCTCATCACGACACANAAAAAAAAAAGGAATCTTCCTGGGGGTTAAAGGGCTACCGGTGCGTAGGGCTGACAACCTTACCGCCATCTATTAGCCGAATGTCTAGAAAATGTGGGAGCCTCGACGTCCCACAACCCTATGGACCTTCACGGCCTGTTACAGGAATAACTTTACATTTTTAATGTAATGGGAATATGGGGGTACATGAGATTAATAGGCTGAAAGAGTAAAATCGGGAGGGGGGGGAGGTGTTGGTTTAGCCGTAACTCTCTGGACATTATTCGGGATCTGAGAGCTTTCTTGGTTTTCCTCGGTCACGCCAGACAAATGGACGGCTAGTTTCTCAATCGACGATCGCTTCCTTCAGTATCGTTCCCAGTTCATCAGTCCATCTGACGCCATATAGGGAACACTGGCGTCGTAATAAAAATAAATAGGCAAGTAGGATTTCACAGCCGTGCCTATGAAGAATGCCGTATTCTGGGGTGTGGCGCCGTGTAAATCTTAGTGAACCGATATTTCGGATGAACGTATCTCCTCCATCTTCATGGTAGAGTAGGCGATACGTTCCTCCGAAACGTCGGTTCACACAATATACATACGGTGCCACATCACAGAAGACGGCATTCCTTGTAAAAAGAATTTTAATGGGGGTAATTTCAGTAAATGCGTAGCTTTCATTTTTTGCTAGTGAGGTGGGTCTAAGTCCCTTGTACGCGGCCACTTCTGGCCTATTGTACCAGCCCCAGATGATAGATGAGGGTTATTTTGGAGCAATTGGTGGAATGAACATTGACAGGGGAAACCGAAGTACTCGGAGAAAACCTGACGCAGCGCCACTTTGTTCACCACAAATCCCACTTGACCAGACACGGGATCGAACCAGGGCCACCGCGGTGGGAAGGCAGCGACTAACCGCTTGAGTTATGGCGCGGCCTTAAATGCGTAGCTTAATTGTCTCCGGTAACTAAGAAGCAGTTAGTATTGTTTTATTCATAATTTACATCTGTTTACAATAATATTTTGATTGAATTGATATACTCGTATTTGTTGTGCATTACATTCATGTAAATAACCATCTGAACTTATGAAAATAATTGTTTCTAAATTCAGTAGCAAAATAGGCGTTGAATATGGCTGACAAGTCGAAAACTATTATATTAATAACTTTAAAATAATTTATTTTAAATATGTAGATGATCAATTACAGGAAGCATTACTGTCACGTGTACGGTGATGAGATGGGTTCTAGGTGGGATGATTGGATTTATTAGCATTTTGGTTACAAGTTCTCTTAATCACATTTACTAAATACAGCGCTATGGCTGATTTACAGACACAATGGCCCTCGCCTGGTACTCCAATTAAAACGGAGGTACTATAGCACTCTGACTCAATGACACTTTATGTCTTCACAAGTCTTCTACGAACTTCCCATGGCGATCTTATACCCAGAACTCAACATTGTCACTTAAAACTGAAAATTGTTTTATCTGTAACTGTCGTTTTATAGCTTCTACACATACCACGCACGGACAACACAGCCATATTATTGCATAAGAAGGCCACAGAAAAAACGAGTCACGTGATAACTACTTCGTCAGTCCATTGGCATGCTGACTGTTGCCTAGCAACGAGCTATTGCTGGGTGCCCTTAAAGGAGGTGTTTGTCGCTGTATATCGTGCCGTTATCTAGCTATACGCATTAAAATAGAGTTTGTTTTTTGCGTGGTTTCTCCATTCGCTGTTACTCAGGTGACTTTAATAAGGCCTTCAGGTAGAAATATGTAGCGATCAGTCGTCTAAAGTAATCTTGTCACTTAAAGAGAACGTAGAATTAAATTCAACCTTCATAGGACTCAGTGTCGGAAGGCAGCTTCATACAGTAACTAATGAGTTGTTAGGCAGCTGGAAGTGTGTTAGTATGCGAGACAGAATCCTGAAATGCTCCAAGTAGAATTGTTATGGATCAACAAATCTTACCGGAAATTCCTCCTATTTATGTAGCAGGGTATTTTGTGGAATATTAACCACTTGGCGACCTCGTGCCGTCCCGGAAACAAGCTGCCGTGTGTTTGTGCAGGCACGCTCACAGCTGTCTATTCTTAACCGGCCTTTATTTGCATTGCTGTGCGGCGCAAGGATGTCATTTGTCAATATTTCAATGTACAGTGTTCTCCAAATCTTTCCCACACCTGACACTTCGTTAGGCATTAGGACAATTCGACGCCTATTGCAGATAGTGCACTTTATAAACAACCTTTTTCCCGCTTAGGAATTTCATACAACTCGCGTGCACCGAGATAAATGGCAAAGAAAATGAAGGTGATATTTATGACGAAATAAAACTTGGCTGTTTTCATTTGTAGACTCTTACACTGACGTGTCTTGAA